AGGACAATTAACTCTAAATCAAACGAAATGATGTTTTGGGAAATGACTGTTGAAATGGTAATTTCCCTGTTGGTGTCTGGGGGAGGGGAGGCTTGGTTTCGATTGACTGATACATAACTTACAACATTATAATCGGACTGAGTTCTTTCAATATATCCATGAAAAGGTTTGTAAACTAATTTAAACAAATTAGTGTGAAATCCTTTGTAATTTAATTTTTAAATTGCTACAATTTATTATGCAATTTCTTACAAAATATATTGAATGCATGCACTCTATAAAGACTAAAATTTACCAAGTTCGATCTTTTAAACTCCATCTTTTTTAAGGCAAATAAAGATTTTACTAGACATTTCGGTCCGAACATGGACCTTCATTGATTGACTGTGTATATAATTCAAAATGTTGTACGAAGGGACAAAAGCTGATATTTTATCTTTATAAATTATGTGAATTTTCTTTTACCGGTAGCTCATTATTCTCAARTTTGAATATCAGGATCGGGCAGTAATCAAAAACTGTCCTTTTGAGCGTGTTTATCGTTATGAAATGCCAGAGAAACAAATGTTTTTCAGGTGAAAAAAGTCATCATTTTGGCACTCTTGCAAGATTATTCAATAATAAAATAATATGCTAAATATTGTTTTGATATATTAAGAATATACTGTGATGAATGTTAGATCATTAATGCAAAAAAATATTGATATCTTTGTTCATAGAGTGCTATTTAGTTGTATTTAGTCAATCGTGCATGCGGTACGCAAATTTAATTGAATTGATACAAATGAAGCATTCAATACCGTCTTGCTTCAGGTACACTTTTAGTACAAATTAGTACTTACTTAGATTTTGTACAGTTGCACGGTTTAAGTGCGATCACTCTACTTTGTAAAGCATATAATTTGTAACTTAAGTATTTTAGCTTAATTCATTCATTGTAGAGTAATTGTACTTTATAGTTTCAGGTTGTATCCTTTATGTATCATTTTGGTATGGGAAGGATTAAAGGTATTATTTGAGGGACGCAGCAGACATGTTGTTTGCTTTGGTTTTAATTAAAGGCGATACCTAGTCAATAATTGTCTTAAGTGTGAACAAAAGGTATCTATACCTGTCTTGCTTTGATGCAATGGCTTGGTTACCTTTCAAGATGGCGCTCGGAAGTCTCGGAACTGCACTGTAAAATGGAGTATTGCTGCTTTTATTCTTATATATCGTGGGTTTTGCTTAATATTTCTAAGAAGTACTCTAAACACCACGATGATTATATAAAAAGAAACAAAGAAAATATCAAGAACATTTTTTTCGCCTTTTTCTGCGTTGTCTCTTTTGACGTTTGACGACTTTGAGGCGATATTTACAAAATC